GGTACAAACTGATAGCATGGCATTGTATGCATTCATGCTAAGAATAGTCGCGAGGACTGCACTTGAGACTACTTGCAGAGTTAGGTTTGAGTGGCAGCCTCTAGTGGCATCACCACTTTTGTCAAATTGTTTCCCCATTTATCTCTTGCGCTTGTCGCAATATTTCTTATCATTCTCCATCTCATTGCCTTGGCTGTGCAGAGCTCAAGGTTGAACACATATGCGTCTACAACGACCATCTGATGAAGAGAGCCGACTTGAAAAAGTGAGCTTAATGCATGCGCATGTGTGTGTGTGTGCGTGCGTATGTACGTGCGTGTGTACGTGTGCTCGCGTGTGTGTGTCAAAGTAGCGTGCTGTACTGGTTGCACCAGCAAGTGTAGGGTGTGCATTGGTAACTGTCTTGGCCGTCCTATTCCGATGTACTCTGTCTGTGGTGTAGATCAGGTCTGCATTGGGGATCGATTCACATGGCTAGGCCAGTTGTGTGGATTAGGCAGTTGTCTGGCGCTAGTCTTGACCTATTTCATTCGGATCTTGTCCACTATCGTTGCTATTAGAGAAAATCTGTGTGTGTACATCCAGTGCATTTCCAGATTTGCATGCTTCTCTTGTGACGGGCGTACATGGTGTGTGCGTGTGTGCGTGTGCGTGTGTGCGTGTGTGTGAAGCTAGGGGTGGGTGTGGTGTGCTTATATCTATGTTCACGAATATTTGTGTCTTGTTCATCCATCCCATTGTCTAGTTATTCGACAGCAGTATCTGAGCTCTTTCTTCTCCTGTCAATGTGTGTGTGTGTGTGTGTGTGTGTGTGTGTGTGTGTGTGTGTGTATGTAATTTGCAGTGCTGCACGGGAGCACCGTCTCTTTCCATCGCTCCAAGCAGCTGGTCAGTATGCATGGCATTAGCTCTATTTTCCCCGGTACTGTCCTGTCTTGCTGCTCTTTTGTAAATCTGTTTACATGCAGTGCAATCTTTCTGGCCGATTGCTGCTTTAAGTTATAAGCGCTGATTGGTTCATTGCCGCATTCAAACTGCTGGTTGAGTGACTGGTGCTAGCGAAACGTCGGGCAAACCACGCATTGTAGGCTGTGGTGTGTCAGAGCTACAGATGTAATTGTGGCATAGGAAGCTGTGGTGTGTCAGAGCTACGTATGCAAGTGTGGCATAGGAAGCTGTGGTGTGTCAGAACTACAGCTGTAATTCTGGCATAGGAAGCTGTGGTGTGTCAGAGCTACAGATTTAATTGTGGCATAGGAAGCTGTGTTGTGTCAGAGCTACGTATGCAAGTGTGGCATAGGAAGCTGTGGTGTATCAGAACTACAGCTGTAATTCTGGCATAATAAGCTGTGGTGTGTCAGAGCTACATATGCGATTGTGGCAGTGGTGGTGGCAGTGCCGTCAGCAGCTGAAACAATCATTCGTTTTTGCCAATCACTTAAGTGGCCGTTGTCTTAGATAGGATTTTCCGGACACGAATTGCGGCTGCTAAGCTGCCATAGCACTGCCTGTAAGTCTAGTCTGTATCCTCTCTCATATCAATGTGGTGTGTGCCGGACCTATCTGCCTCTGCAGCACCCAAGAAGAAGAAGTTCAAGCGTGAAGAAAAGTAAGTTTTTGCACTGCTGCGCGCCACTGATTTCTGTCTTTCCGTGCTCTGTGACTCCTTAGTTTTAATATCGGTCTTTATGGCCATAGAGCACAGTTTCCATACATGTCCACTGCTCTATAGTATGTGTTCAGAATTGTTTGCAACATAGACAATTGAAGTAGTGTTATCCGTGTAAGCTTGGATTTGCTGCTAAAGCGTATGAACGGTTTAGGAAGAGGATTGTACTCACAAGGATACAAATGCACCTGCCAGTGTTGTAGCTGAGCATGTCGTCCATAGTGCTTTCTAGGCTCATTCAAACTCGGTTTTGGTCATAATCTGGTTTTAAGAGGGTTGTTCTCACAAGGACACAAATGGACCTGTCAGTAGTGTTGCAGGGAGCGTCTACAGTGCATTGAGAAATTCATGTACTTGAGTTTTTCAAAACAGATATGGCGGGGTTTAGGCTCAAACCCAGTTTTTTTATTTTTAAATTTTGCTGTGTTTTTTTTTGGACCTTTGGCTCCACGTATTAGGTCATGGTTGAACACCCGTTGCAGCCTGAATACTATGCTTGCTGCACATGTACTACACTCCTTAGCTCCACGGCATGTTTGGGCTTGATTTACTCCGGATACACGTGTGTTGTAAGAGCTCGTCTGCATCCCCACTGGGCCGTTGCGACGATAGCGGCTGTATTTACTGCTGGGATACTACGTGTGTTGGCAGCGGATTGACAACGAACAGCACTTTCAACGTGTTGGGAATGTATACTAGTATTGAGTCTTAACAGTCCTTGGCTTTGCTTGTTTGCTTACTGTTGTCGCAGAGATCTGCAGCCAGTGGCACCAGTCATTTCTCGGCTGATAAAACCAAAAGAGTACGAGGATTTCTTGGAATCATTAGCTAGTAAGTATTTGATTTATCTCAGAGGTGTCCACACCCATATTTCTCTTTTCATCGCACTCGGGGGGGGGGTTATCGCACTGAAGGGAGGGGGGGGGGGGTTATCGCACTGAAGGGAGGGAGGGGGGGGGGGGTAACAGTGATGCTAGTAACTCAAGTAATGAATGTGGATGGCAGTCAGTGGGATAATAAATTGTGTTTGTTTATCTCATAAAAGGACACACTTCAGGTTCTTTACGAACATCTTGAAAGTTTTTGGTTTCACAAGTATACTTTCAAGCCTTCTTTCTCATCAGGTGAAATACAGGCAAGGGAAAAGGAACAGGAACAGTGGATTAAGTACAGTAAGGAGGTGGTAAAACAGCGCAAAGAAGAAGATAGCTTAAGTAAACAGCGAAAATGCGTGACCTTTACACATAGCAATAATGACACAAAGGTGCAAGTGCGAGAAAACTCAATAAGCGTGACATGTAGTGCGACAACAAGAGACAACCACTGGACATAACTAACGAGGTTTTGACGACCTATCTAACAGCCTAAGTGTGAATTTAATTTGCTTCTGCTTGCAAAGGTTGGGTTTCTTTGTGTGGATGTATACGGCTTCCAAAACATTCAGCAATCTAGCACTGCGTACACGTGACACAATCGAAAAACAATCATCTGAATACACAGCACGACAATCGGGATGCTCAAACAAATGACTTGTCATGAATGTCACCACATCATGAAGACTACTTACGATGTCCAACGACGACTCTGATTACCCAGCTGATGGCACGCGTACATTGTGAATCCGAGTATTCCCAATGTCGCCTCCATCTCATCATATAATTATACTCTCCTGCATGTTTGTCTCTGCTGCTCATCACAAACTACTTAAATCTGAACTTGTTTGCTTCTTCTCTGAATGCACTCGTTGCTAGCTGCCGAGATTTGTTTTCTTGTAGTTGCATCATTGCATTCCGCATGATCCGCGCTTGCATGATGCACGCACGCACGCACACACATACGGGGGTGGTTGGCAAGTTTTGATTATGGTTGAAGGTGAAGTTTTTAGAAAGGAAACTGTGGTATGAGAATGAGTCTGATGAGTCTGTCTTCCCCTACCGTTCTCGACATGGTGCTGTAGAGACCAGGATTTGGAACCAACGCGTCCAACAACTTTCGTTTTTTTACGATGGACGGAGAGGTTGAACAGACAACAACGAACGATGGAGAGGAGTCCTTGGATCAGACGACTGAGAAGCAAAGCACATCTCACGTCCTGGACCAAGTGGTTTACAACGACCTAGTCAAGAAGCGAGGCAGGGCCAAGGGAAGGGTGACGCGAGTAAGGAGGAGGATCGAACATGAACTCCGTAAAACGGAGGAGAAATTCGTTAGTCTGTTGTCACTTCAGAGTGATGTTGAGAAAATCCTACCCTTGATTGACACAGTGAACGACCTGTCCGAGCAGATTGGTACCCTGCTGGAGAGCTGCGAGGCAGACGAGCGTGTGGAAGACGCACTAATTGATTTGGAAGCCTGGGATGATGGCTTTGACCACGAATGCACAAGTGTGTCGGACGCACGTGCACTACTCGACTATAGAGGGGTAGGGACACATTCACCAGTGGTGACGGAGCTTGCTGCAGAGGCAGCAACACCCCAGAAGGCCACCCGGCACGATACAACACAGGAGGTAGTGGTCGTGGACAGTGATGGGACGGACAGACCCACGGGCGAACTGCTGGAATCAAAGGAATTGCCGGCAACAGGCACGGGCGACACGGAATCTGCTGCAGGCAGACTGGACAGCCCTAGCACGGGTGTGGAGGCAAGGCGTAGCACAATGTCCACAGGCACGGACATCAGTGCTACTACTCAGAACCCTGTGGCTCAGGCTCAGCATACGGATACAACACAGGCCCAGCCAACTGTCCCGACACCAACCAATTCCCCGGACATGATACAGGCCATGGCATTAGCGGCAGCCCACGCTGCAACCGCGGCAGCTGGCCTCAGTACTGCCCCACAGCCATCACGCCTCAACGTCCAGCTGCCAAAGCTGACTCTACCGTCCTTTTCTGGCAAGGTGATTGAGTGGCCAGAGTTTTGGGAGCGATTCCAGTCTTCCATCGACAACCAGCCCATTGCGGATGTCAGCAAGTTCTCATACCTGAAATCTTGCCTTTCCGGCGATGCGGCGAAGGCCATAGCGGGCATCTCATTGACAAGTGCAAACTATACCACCGTCAAGGATCTGTTGAAGACGAAGTATGGTTCAGCGGAGATCATCATTGCATCCCTGTACAGCCGTTTGGAAGCACTACCGGCACCACCCAACAGGCCCATGGAGATCCATCGAAGTTTCGAAACTGTGGAGTGTCTCCTTCGACAGCTGGAAACACAGGGAGAGAAGTTGGCAGATCAACGTCTCCTGTGCCAAAAGCTGTGGGGCAAGGTTCCACTCGAGGTTGCCACCAAGTTTGAGGAGTGGCGTGGTATCAGCAACGCCGGCCAGCCCTGGAAACTAACCACTCTACGAGAGTATATGGCCAAGTACACAACTCTACAAGAGCAACTCCGCCAGCGGACTGGCCAAGGCCCTCCGAACAAACCTGACGCTGTTGGAGTGCAGCCAAAGCAACTCTTTAGCACAGCGGATGCACTGGCAGCTCACCCTGATACCCAAGGACGACCACAACGTTCCCGTCGTGGTTGCATATTCTGCGATGGCCAACATATGGACAACGATTGCTCACGCTACACATCTTCTGCTGCCAGGAAACAACGATTAATGGAGCTACGTCGTTGCTTTATTTGCTTGGGTTCCGGTCACCGCAGCCAGGAATGTTACCGACGGCAAACACAGACCTGCCGGATGTGCAAGCGCCCAAGTCACCATCACCATACCATCTGCTCGCAGAGTCGCCAGCCATCTGGTGTAGGTTCGCATTCCACCCGACGAGCTGACGGTTCATCTTCCATGGCAGCGGTGGCAACTTCTGACACTACAACCGCTACGTGCACACCCACTCAGGTTCCAGGTCAGGCAGTTGCTTCGGACCAGACAGTTGCTTCGGACCAGTCATCGTGTCTCCTGCAAGCAACAGGATCAACTGTCACACTCCAAACCGCCACAACGAATGTGCAAGGCAACAATGGTACAATCACCACCGCTCGCGTTCTTCTTGATTCAGGCAGCCATCGCACGTACTTCACGGAGGCTTTGGCAAGGCAGCTCTCCCTGCGCCATACTCGCCATGAATGGCTGTCCGTGTCAACCTTTGGTGCCACCAAACACCACACAGCACAGGTACCGATCTCCGACCTGTTCATTCATCTCAAGGATGGTACAACGAAGGCCATCGAAGGCAGCGTCTTACCGCACATCACAAACCCGGTTCTCCGTCCTGCGGTTGCACACCCCGACATCACGACCTTGCAGCAACTGCAACACGACAACCAGTTAGCTGATGCGATTAACGCCGAAGATGAACGGCTAAAGATCGACATACTCATTGGGTCTGATTATCTGTGGGACTTCGTGCAGGGCCATGTGCAACCTCTACCATCAGGCCTCAACCTTCTGCCAACCTCCCTCGGCTACGTGGTCACCGGCAAGACGGACACCTCTCCCACCACTGCCCTACCGGCAACCACTCTGATCGCAGCCGCAGCCGACGTTTCACACGAGGAGGTTCTGCCTCTTAAGCAGTCCATTCCGGATTTGTGGAGCCTCGAAACGCTTGGGATAGAGCACCCGTCTCCCGTGAAAGACGATGACGTAGCCTTGCAACATTTCCACTCAACAGTGGAGTGCACCGATAATCGCTACATCGTTCGCTGGCCATGGAACGGCCAGCAGCAGTTTCTCCCGGACAACTACGGATTGACGTTGGGCCGGTTCCGGACTCTATCGCGGCGGCTAAGCACCGACTCGTCACTACTTGAGCAGTATGACAAGGTGATCCAGCAGCAAGCCGACATGGGCATCATTGAGCAGATGACACCGGATTCTGTCACTGGTCCGCAACTCCATTATCTACCCCACCAGCCAGTTCTAACTCCAACGAAGACGACGACCAAGTTGCGTGTCGTTTATGATGCCTCGGCCAAGGCACAGCGTCACAACAAGAGCTTGAACAACTGTCTGCTACGTGGACCCGTGTTGCTCCCCAACCTTGCCGGAGTTCTTATGCGACTCCGCATCACACCCATTCTGCTGGTAGCCGATATCGAGAAGGCATTCTTGCAACTTGACATCTGGCCGCCAGACCGGGACGTGACACGCTTCCTATGGTATCGCGATCCAACTAATCCCACAGCAACTCCGGACAACATCGCGGTCTATCGGTTTCGGAGAGTACCGTTCGGCATCGTGAGCAGTCCATTTCTGCTAGCGGCAACAATCCAACACCATCTAGCAAATGATGAAGATGCGGATGTCGGTCGCTTGGTGTCCCGCAATATCTACGTGGATAACGTATTCATCGGTGTCGACACCCCGGAAGAAGGGTACGATATGTGCAACCGAACTACATCCGTATTCTCTCGCTCGTCCATGCGGCTACGTGAGTGGGCATCTAACAACAGCCACGCTACGACAGCTATGGATGCCAAGGAAAGGGCACAGGGCGACAGTGTCAACGTTCTTGGAATCACGTGGCACACCAAGGATGACAGTCTACAGCTCGCTTGTCCTCGAACCCAACCCAGCACCGACCCGGTTTGGACTAAGCGCGCTGTCCTGAAGTATGCTGCATCATTGTACGATCCATTGGGACTGGTTGCTCCGGTCACATTTCGTATCAAGGTCTTCTTACGCTCTCTGTGGCAAGCTGGTATGGACTGGGACACTGTCTTGACTGGACACCTACTGGACACCTGGCTGACCCTCCATGCAGCCTCGAGCGAGGTCAGCTCGTTATCGTTCCCCAGGCAAATCAACCCAATTGCTAATGGAACCGATGCTACCTACCAGCTACACGTCTTCACCGATGCGTCACAACTGGGCTTAT